TGCCCGAGGGCTTCTTCCAAGTATCCCTGGATGAGATAACGTATGTAAAATACTGAGCTCCCGAATGCTCGTATTCTCGTTCATCATTTTACTTGTGTAAGGAAACTTTACTGAAAAATAGTAAAAGTCGATAAACGAAGACCTCCAAAGAATTATGTTTGATTATGTATAGGAAATACTAGCCTACTGAAAGAATTTCAGTACCCACCTAGAATGGCCTTACCCTTCTCTACACTCCTTTCTGTTGCCCAGCTCCTCCAAGATGTACTGTCTACTGTCATCTACTCATATAATATGCTCTGCAGATTACCTGTATGAGAATTACCTGGGGGTGGACATGAGAAAATGTGGGTTGTTGGAGCCCATCCCAGATGAACCAGAATATCTTAGGATGGGGCCTGGACATCTGCATTTTAGGTAACTCTCTCCTCCTTCACTCATAATTCATATGCACACTAAGTACCCACTGTAGTTAGTTCTACTGTTATCCTTGAAGCCCCTTTAAGGGTATTAATCCCCTCTCTGAATCCCTGAGGCATTTATCTTTCATATATTCACGTAGAGCACTGCTTTCCTTCTCACTGTTTTGCAGTGACTCTGAGAGAAATGAAATATATGTATATCTGAACTCTAAGTCTTATCCTGTGGGTCTCAGGATATTGTGTTTACTTAAGGTTTTAATTCACATTAACTTCTTTAGCCAGGTTGTGAGTTCCAAGTTAATGTATGAGAAACAACAAATAATCACTAGAAAAAATATGACGAACTTAGCTTCACAAAAGAATACTGAGCATTAAGGCAGACACACGGTTGGTGCTCAGTGAACACTTATTTATTATTGATTACTAACTTTATTCTTCCCACTATATCACTTCAGCTTTTTCCTCTTCCCACTTTCTAGTTCTCTATTTCCAATTATTCCTAACAAAATTTACTTGAATTTCAGCTAAATAATAAGAGTTATTTTCTTGCCCACTTGTCATCTTCAGTTGTTCATTGTTGCCATGCAACTATAAAACATGCTATCTTCAGTTCCAGGGAAAATTGCATATGGCTTGACAAAGCCTGTGTTTATTTTCTCTCAAGTATTTGCTTACTGGATACATATATAACTAGAAGGGAGAGGGGAAATTGTTGGGGGGAGGGGTGGACAGTGTATGTTTCTTCAGCATACCTTATCTTACATGTTCTAATTAGAGGCTATATTTGCTGAGCAAAACAAATTAGTAAATTTATCTTATGATTCATTTGATGACTACATGTTTTCTTATAAACAAGTTAATATTATTGCTTTAGGCAGACATTTAAGGTTATATTAATTTAATCTTAGAATTTTTTTTTTTTTTAAAGATTTTATTTATTTATTTGAGACCGAGAGAATGAGAGAGACAGAGAGCACACGAGAGGGGGGAGGGTCAGAGGGAGAAGCAGGCTCCCTGCTGAGCAGGGAGCCCGATGCAGGACTCGATCCCGGGACTCCAGGATCATGACCTGAGCCGAGGGCAGTCGCTCAACCAACTGAGCCACCCAGGCGCCCTAATCTTAGAATTTTTTTATGATTCATTCATATTTGATTTTAGAGTTGATACTTTTAAGCTGTTAGAAACGCCAAATGCTACTGAGTGGAAATACTGTAGATCAATAACATGGGTTGGACTGTAAGCCTTGATGTAAAGTGCAGACTTTTATTTATTAAGATTTTTAAAAAAATTTACTTGACAGAGAGCAAGAAAGCACAAGCCGGGGGAGCAGCAGAGGGAGAGGGAGAAGCAGGCTCCCACTGAGCAGGGAGCCCAACGTGGGGTTCAATCCCAGGACCTTGGGATCATGACCTGAGCCAAAGGCAGACGCTTAACTGCCTGAGCCACCCAGGCACCCCGTACAATGTAGACTTTATACTTTCGATTAATTGAAGTTAATTCATTTATTTTAGGTAGGGGCACCTGGGTGGCTCAGTCGGTTAAGCATTTATTTTAGGTAGTAAGAAAGGTCAATTTATTTTATCAGTCATACTTACTGATTATCTGTTATATACATAACAATATGTGAGAATCTGGAGAGGATACTAAACAGGAATATGAAACATGGTTTCTACCATCAAGGAACTGTGTGGTAGGTAGACAATTTACCATATGTGAAAAAAGTCAGCATATTTGCAAATACAAAACTCTCTTGTAAAGAACTATTTCTAGAACATTAGATTGTACTTTAGGAATTCAGGAAAGTGAGGGATTAGGTGGGCTGGTGTGCCAGTCTCTCTAGACCAACTTTAATCTTTTTTAGTTTTTCCCAGTGGCATCTGCAGCCTGGGCCATATAAACAGAGACTTTCTTCCCGCTGGCATCTGGTTTAGTGTTGACTCTGAATAGGTGATCTGAGGGAGGGAGGAGAATGAGTTCAGGGTAGGCACATTTGTGGGGTCTAGGGCAAGAGTACAAATGGAGGTCCAGATACCCATTATCTTAACCATCGAAAACTAATTGCTTAAAAAAACAAATTGTCAAATAATATATGTTCTATTCTTCTATTTTTTTAAAAAAGACATTTATTTGAGAGAGAGGGAGAGAGAGAGAGAGGGAGAGAACGATCAGAAAGGGCAGGGAGAGGGAGAGAGAATCTCAAGCTGACTGTGCTGAGCGTGGAGCCCTACGGGGCCTCAATCTCGTGACCCGGAGATCAAGACCTAGGCTGAAACCGAGAGTTGGATGCTTAACTGACTGCACCACCCAGGTGCCCCAATATCCTTCTATTTTAACCAATATATTTTCATAATGATCTGAAAGTGAAGTACAAATTTAGAGTTCCTCAGTTCATCAGAGTTCCACACTAGAAAGTAAGAACATGGGGAGAAAAGGGTCTCTGCCTACAGTCTACCTATTATATTCTTACCCAGCTTCACCTCCTCCCATTGACTTTCCTTGGCAAAGAGCTGCTCCTTGACTACCCTCAGGTACAGGGTTGTGCCCACCAGCAGTGCTGGCTGTACCCTAGGAAAGCCTATACAAATTCTGGAAGGAGACTTGGGGCCACTTTGGCAGGGAAATCCAGGGACCTGGGTATCTAGAGCATGGTTTAGAAGGGACAGCATGAGTTCTGGGTGGCCACGGCCCCTTGACTCTGCGGACTCCATACTTAGTAGGGTTTTGTGCCTCTGAAGGAGAGCTGGAGCAGGGGCTCCTTTTGCTCAGGTCTAAGAGTATTGGGTCATGCTGTTCATTTCCTCAGCTGCTTTTCTTCTAGATTGCCTCTGGCTAGAGGTTTCCTTCAAACAAATGTCACAGGTCCTCTCAAGGTGTTTTTGTCTACAGAACTTTTTTTTTTTTTTTTAAGATTCTATTTATTTATTTGACAGACAGAGATAGGGAGAGTAGGAACACAAGCAGGGGGAGTGGGAGAGGGAGAAACAGGCTTCCCGCCGGGCAGGGAGCCTGATGTGGGACTCGATCCCAGGACCCTGGGATCATGACCCGAGCCGAAGGCAGACGCTTAACGACTGAGCCACCCAGGCGCCCTGTCTACAGAACTTTTAAATTCCTCACTGCTTTGGGGCGCCTGGGTGGCTCAGTTGGTTAAGCGACTGCCTTCGGCTCAGGTCATGATCCTGGAGTCCCGGGATCGAGTCCCGCATCAGGCTCCCTGCTCGGCAGGGAGCCTGCTTCTCCCTCTGACCCTCCCCCCTCTCATGTGCTCTCTCTCTCTCATTCTCTCTGTCTCAAATAAATAAATAAAATCTTAAAAAAAAAAAAAAATAAATTCCTCACTGCTTTGGATTTTGGGATAGAAATGGCCCTGGGATACAATACTATATGTTATGAGTATATCTTAACCACCACCTGCCTGGTCCCTTTGTCAAACCATCACCAAATATTCTTAATTTGAGTGTACCATCTGTTTTCTTCTGGGACTGTGGCTAATACAGCTGTTCTTTGAGTGAGATTGTACATGAAGGCGAAGTTAATGTAGGCCTCAAGGCAAAGAAAGATAGGATTTAGAAATTAAACGGAACTGAAAGGCTATAGAATCCAACCTTCCTACCCTATGCCAATACTTTTGCTCTGTTTGATATTTTATTTGACACAGCTTAAAAGCATTCTTGGAAGTTTTTCTTAATTTCACACCCTCTTGTTTTCCTTCACACTGCTTGGATATTGAGAATATACCTGCCATACACCCTAGGGTGACTCAGCTCTCTTCCTACTTTTCTTTAATCAAACTTCAGTGAGCCTTTTATTCATACAATATTTTGTGAAAGTTATTTGGCTTTCACTTGATGGGAATGCATCACTTACACATTAGGTTTTCTCTACCTTTTTCTCAGCACAAGACAAAGTAATATTATTTGGTCCTATAGCAATCATAAACACAAAAGCTCTGAGATCCTGTGGCAGTATTTCCTTTTCAGGAAATATGAACCAGAATATGTTTATATTAATTTTTAAAGCCCATATGAACTGGAATATGTTTATACTAATTCTAAGTCATAGAACATAACATAAAACGAAAATATTAAAATTATTCTAAAGAATTAACAGATCCCCTTCTTCCCTCAGGACATCTGCTAACCTTAATTTGAGAAACATGGATTTTCAGGACTGAGTTGTTGTGAGAGATGGGGAAAAAGTTTGGTATAATGACTCAAAGATGTCTGGTTTGGATTAGAGTACATTATCCTATTTTCTGAAATCAGGAGTAAAAAAAAATGCTTTGAGTGAAAAGGATGAGTTTGTAAAATCTCACTTTGAGTTTCCCGCAGTACATTTTCTTTGTGGTAGACTGAGCTGCAGATATAAATTTGGAGGTCAACAACATCTACTGAAACCAAGAGAACAGATGTGGTCATTCAGGGAGAGCATGCAGAAAAGACGGCCAAGAAAAATAATAGCCTCAGAGAAAACAGTTCCTGGAAAGTAGCAGTTAGCAAAGAGGGAGAGAGGTACGTCAAAACAGAGGCGTGTTTTAAGAATGAAATGGTCAATGCCGTCAGATACTCTAAAAGGTCAAGTAAGATAAAGACTGAAAAGAGTTAATCGTATCTGATGATTAAGAAGTGATCAGAGTACAAGCAATTTCAGTGGAGTGAGGGCAAAGTCTGATCACAGTGAGCCTAAGAGCAAAGGGGGAAGTGAGGAAAAGCAGCCTATAATTCAAGATTATTTTTGCTTTGTTGTGAAGATGTCGCTGGAGGCCACTGCAAAGGTGGGACTTGAAAACAGTGTAAAAGATCTGGGCTTCGGACCACCCGTGAGCGGCACCAGATGGGGAGAAGGACAAGACCCAACAGGTAGCTTAAAAATAGAGATTCTAAGAATCGTTGAATCACTAAGCTGTACACCTGAAATTACGTTATTTACAATTCCGGTGTAATACGTTAATTACAGTGGAATTGAAAAAAAAAAAAGATCCTAGAAGAGTGAAGAGATTAGGGCAAGGGTCAAATAAAAAGAAGAGATTTCTTCGGAGTTTGGTGATGGGAAGTGGGTGAAGTTACACAGTAGGATGGGAAACTGAGGGAGCTCACACACTGAACAGAATGGCTTCGATTCTCTCTGTGGAATAAGCGGCAGGGTCCGCTGCAGAGACCAAGAACGGCGCATGACTTGGGGAGAGCGCTGGACACTTGGGAGAGAAAACTGCCCAGGGCAGCGGGGAGTAAAAAGGGTTGCTGAGGGCCGGCTGGCGCGTTCGACTATGAATTGAACACGGCACCAATCTCCAAACTTTCCCTTCCAAGTCCGCCGGGCAGGGGGTGAGGCGCCGGGAAGGCCGACGAAGGTCGACTTCTTCTTAAATGCCTATGCCCAGTGGCCGATCCTGTGCGAGAGCCTACCTCAGATTCGTGACAAGCACCAGAAAGGCCACCATGTTTGTATTCTACGACGTGTTGTTCTGTAGCTTCAGCATCTCAAGGCTCTTGCGGAAACCGAACCGTTTTTGTCTTGTTTTTGTTTTGTTTTTAAAGGCGGGGAGATTACACGCGGGAATGGGCCCAACTCTTCCTCTCCCCAGATCTCCCCGGAGGGAGGGCAGGTGGCCGCTGCGGTCCAGGCGCCTCCGCTCGCGGCGGAGGAGGGGGCCTCTGAGCCGGCGCCGCCGGGCGGAAGCACCGCTGCCATTGGCCCGGCGGCGGCTTTTACCTGACCGCAGCCCGGTGGCCCGAGCGCAAAGTCCGCGACGTTCAGCCGGACAGGCGGCGGTCAGCAGCGCAGGTGGCCCGCCGCCCTCGGCCAGGCAAGATGCTCCTGAGGTTTCGGAGAAAGGCGAGAGCCAAGTCCAAGGAGGCCGCCCAGCTGGTGAAGGCCGAGCCGGTGGGCGCGGGCGGCGGCGTTCTCCCGGACCCCCCGCCTCCCACACGCACGGTGGTCTTCCACGCGCAGCTGGCCCACGGCAGCCCCACGGGCCGAGTGGAGGATTTCGCCAGCATCCGGGAGCTCTACGCCAAGATCGCGGCAGTGTTTGAGATCTCAGCGTCTGAGGTAAGGGCTAGGAGCTCAGGCCCAGGCTGGCGCGCGCGGCGTCGCGCGCCCCCCGCGCGCCCCCCGCGCGCCCCCCGCGCGCCCCCCGCGCGCCCCCCGCGCGCCCCCCGCGCGCCCCCCGCGCGCCCCCCCGCGCGCCCCCCGCCTCTCCCACGTGCCGAGCCCGCTTAAATTGGCTCCGGCTGGCAGGGCGCCGCGGTGCCGAGCCCCACGTCGGATGCAGCGCGGAGTCAGCCTGCAGCGCCCCGGGCGAAGTGAGGAGGGGGGAGGTAAGTCCGGGACCCGAGAAAGTCGCGTTCCCCAGGCTCCTGGCTTCTGGGAAACCGGGGTCGACCTTTCTTCCTCATTTCTTCCGCATGCAAATGAGTATGCTTTAGTTGTCCCGGGGTTAGCCGTTCCGGGCTTAAGCGCCTCCCCGGAGTGGAGATATGACTGAGCACGTTAACACCCTCCACTTCATCTGGACTTTACTCTCCTTCCTCTGCTGGGGGGAGAGGGTCACGCGGAGCATCTCCCAGATTAAGGAAGGGTGAGAAAAGGGCCTGCCAGGTGATAGCAAACTGAGGTCCACTTAGCCCCTCAGATGTCTTGTCTAGCGCCAAACACCAGAGTCCCTTTGGTGGTATTCCCAAGAAGTTGATCATACCAAGGGTGCATAACGGAAGAGAATTATAGCTAACTCCATGGGATTAGTTAACAAAACTTTCAGAGGGAAGATCGACTCTCAATTTTTACACCCTGTCCTTTAAAAGGGGCTGAACTTCGCATTAGGTAGCTTGACTGCATGCGCGTTTGGAACTCGTTTGCTATGGGCGTGATGTAGAAAGCACTAGTTTATGTGGGTGTTTATGGGACTACTTTATTTATGCTTACCTGAGCGAACTGCAGATGCAAGAGAAGTTAGGCCAAGGAAATATTTTGTCCACATCTCAAAGAAAAGCATGAAATGTTGCCCTGGACTCCAGGGAGTGCAGAGAGCTAGCTGCCTTTGAATGGCACAGAGCTGCACTTGGATTTCTGTTCTTTAATGTTGTTTATCAGGTCTGCTCAAATAAAATGGAGGTCGCGGCAAAATTCCAAGGGGAGATGAAAGAGAGCTTGAAGTGTAACCTTTTGTGCTTTCAGGGTTCCCAGGCACTGAGGGGCAAATCACAAACCCATTTTGTGAATTATTTATGTTGACCTGGAGTAGTAACAGTGTTTCGCGTTCGTATGGGACATTTCAATTCAAAAAGCACTTTCACGGGAATAATGTCATTTTTTCTAGGAGAAGCAGGTGGCGTGTAGTTCATTGCGTAGCTGAGGACAGGATTTGGGAGACCCCTAAGCCTGGATGTGAGTCCAGGTTCTACCACTTACTGGCTCTGTGGCCTTGAACAAGTTTAACTTCCCTCACTTTCAGCCATGTATAAAACAGATGAGAAAGGGGGTGCCTGGCTGGCTCAGGTTGTAGAGCCTGTGACTCTTGGTCTCTGGGTGGTGAGTTCGAGCCCCACGTTGAGTGTGATTACTTAAAAATATGAATCTTGAAAAACAAAAAAACAACAAAAAACAATCCAGAGAGAACATCTACCTTGAAGGGTTGTAAAGACTGGAGTTCATATATAAACTTATCAGATTGCATGGTACATGGTCCACACTTAACAAATTGTAACTAGTATTACCAATACCTAGCAGTTAAGTGAGTTGCTGAGGCCTTGGCCAAGGTCACACAATTAGCAAGAAAAAAATCTGGGATGTTATTTAAACTTGGATCTTCTCGTTTCTAAGCTAAGTGAGCTTGTTAGCATACTTAACTGATAACTTTAAATGTCTCTTCTAGGGGCGCCTGGGTGGCTCAATTGGTTAAATGTCTCTTCTATAACCAGGGACTCCAGATTCAATTGCTTTGCATTAATAGCCTTCCTCATTATTCTGAGCTCAAGGTGCTTGACTTTATTTAATCCGGTTAATTCTGGAAGAAAAATATTGATATCACTGCTTCAGAGAGGAAACAGGCTTTGAGGTTCACAAACTTTTGCAAAATTATACATAGTAGCAGAGCCTGGGTTTATACCCAGGTGTGTGTTTTTTTTGTTTTCTGACTCCAAATTCCATGAACTTCTATTCTGTATTGCTTCCCAAGTTTTCCCGGGTGTCTGTGATAGCTTGGAAGCCATTGTCAGTGTTTTCAGTTTCCAATGCACTGAAATAGATAAAATTCTGAGATAGTGTAATCCTTCTATATCAAAGTTCATGTATTTTTATAACTCCAAATATATATATTAGTATACTTACGCATATAACCAACCTTAACGCAAGTTTTCCATTTGGATTAGGAATAGTTAAGTATGGGGCTCCTGGGTGGCTCAGATGATTAAGCATCTACCTTTGGCTCAGGTCATGATCCCAGGGTCCTGGTATCAAGCCCCACATTGGGCTCCTGGCTCAGTGGGGAGCCTGCTTCTCCCTCTCCCTCTGCCTCTCTCTGTATCTCTGTGTCTCAAATGAATAAGTAAAATCTTTAAAACAAAAAAAATAGTTAAGTATATCCAGGATAAAGCATTGGTCATCATAGTATAGTATGTCCTAAGTATCTCAATTAATTTTGAAACAAGTAATTTATTAAAACCACTCTGGTGAGATCCCATTTCTTGTCTCCTTTCCCCAGCAAGGGTAATTGTGGTATAAACTTTTGAGTTGTCAGTGGGAACAAAACAAATTTCCCCCCTCTTAATAGATTCAATAGATTGTTAGCTCAGAATTCCTGCCTTTTTTCTAGAGCAGTGGCTATAGGGTTATAAATAGCTCTGTATGGAGTTGAACCTTCTTTACTAAGGGTGAGGGGGGGAAGGGAAGGACTTGGCCTGACCTGATTTCAGGTGTGGCAGATTTACTGGGAGTTCATAATGTGCCCATGGCTGTGCTAGGCATGTAAGTAAGTCTACAGTGTAGTCGTTCCATCCTCCCCACAGCACTGAGGTAGGGGTTCTTTTCATTTTATAAAGCTAAGTGAGGCTCTAAGAAGTTAAGCAGCTTGCCCAGAGTCACTGAGCTGGTATGGGGCAGGGCCAGGATTTGAATGCAGGTTTCCTGGTTCCAAGTCCATTACATATCGGCTATGAGGTTTTAGGTAACTGCATTCAAATTTCAAATACAAACCCAGGAAACCTTTTTTTAAGATTTTATTTATTTACACAGAGAGAGCGAGAGCAGAGCACGGGGAGTGGGAGAGGGAGAAGCAGGCTTCCTGCCGAGCAGGGAGCTGATGTGGGGCTCGATCCTGGGACTCTGAGTCACCCAGACACCCCCAGGAAAACTTCTTTTTTAAAACAAAGGGTCTTTTCAATTAAAGCCTCAGACCCCACCACAAAAATATTGCCTCAAAAAAATGCTGTTGTGAAACTAATTTGAATTTCACCTATTTCAAGGTCCCTGAAGGAGGAAACTATGAATCTAAGCTATGAATCACTTGCAGCCTGTGATCATTACCTTGAAACAGATGGCCAATTATGCAGATATTTTTTTGAGCTGATATTTTTTTCTAAACAACTAAATGAACAGTTCAGTAAAAAGAAAGTAAATCTTGCCTAAAAGAGCAGTTAACTTTTGTAAATGCAGGGACACTTTTACAAAAAGTTTAGTACCGTCTTTTAAAATATTCAGGTTATACAGAGGAATTGATCATTAAACTCTTGAGCTTCAGTCGTAACATTTGTTGAAGGGGCATTTTGAATATATGACCGCTGTGATTGTTTGGCAGTAGTTTGTGCCCTGACATGTTTTCTTAGTTATCTTTTATGTGGAAAGACTGTAGAAAATGGTAATTCGAACAAGCTTTTAAGGAAATCAGTTTTGTAGTTAGATACCTCACATATCCAGGAAATGAAAGCTCATTGTCTTTAAAGATTTAATTATTGGGATGCCTGGGCAGCTCAGTTGGTTAAGCGTCTGCCTTGGGCTCAGGTCATGATCCTAGGGCCCTGGGATCGAGTTCTGCATGGGGCTCCCTGCTCAGCGGGGAGCCTGCTTCTCCCTCTGCCACTCCGCTTGCTTGTGCATGCTTGCTCTCTGACGAATAAAATCTAAAAAAAAAAAAAAAAAAATTTCCTTTGACTTGGTTGTATTCGTTCATATATATATAATACTAAATAGTTCATTGAATGGGTCAAGCAAATGTAGGCTCTTCTTTCTCAATACATAAAGCAGTCCAATAAAGCAGTATTCTTGGGAAGATGAGATTTTAATTTGAGAATTGTGATTTTAATTTCAAGCTTTATATACAACAGTTTATAAATAACAATTATGCTGTGATTTTTCTCAACAAATCTTCCCTTTTCACCTGCCCCTGTCTCCTGTTGTTACCCCATTTCTCTTTTCTAGCAAAACTCAAAAGTTGCTGTCTCCAGTGAGACATATCCTGTATCTTCTCTCTCTGATCAAAACTCTGATGGCTCCCCATCCCACTTACAGCAAAAGCCAAAATCTTACAATGGGCTATAGGCAGGCCCTTTTACCTCTCTAATATCCTTATTCCTTCTGCTCCAGCCAGTCTGGCCTCCTAGCTATTCCTTGAACTCTTGAGCCTTAGGGCTGTTGCTTTACCAGAGCCTTTTCCTGCAGAAGGCTGTTCCTTCTTTAAATCTGCTCAAATATCACCTTCTCAGTGAGGCTGGTACTGATCATCCCATTTAAAATTCCCCTCCTCAAAAAAAAAAAAAAAAAATTCCCCTCCTCACTTAATTTTCCTCCATAGCATATTCACATCCTATGTATATTTGTCTTTTTCCTCTCCCATGTAGTAGAATATAAGCTCCACAAAGGCAAGGATTTTGTCTATTTTGCTTACTGATATAGCCCCAGAGGGCCTAGAACCATACCTAAAATGTGATTGGAGCTCAAGTATTCATTGAATAAAAGAATCTTCACACAGTAGTTAAAATCCTGTAGCTTCAATATGCAGCTTTAGTACCAGTTACAGTAATATCTTATGTAGACGTTAACTTTTCCTGCTGTGGTGT